CAACCTCAGGTATTTATCCTCAGGTGACATTCACCATTTCTTGAGGCAAGGTCTCTCCAGTCTGAGGCTTGCCAACAAGGCTAGCTAGCTGGCCAGTGTGCTTCAGGGATCATTCAGCCTCCACCGTGCTAGGATTACACATAGATAACACCATGCCTAGTTTTAACATCAGTTCAGGGGGTAAAACTCAAGTCCTTATGCAAGCATTTTATTTACAGCATGCACTTACCATCCCTGCAACCCAATAAGGAAATACTTAATAAACAAGCAATTCCCAACCATAGCCCGAGCAGAATCAGATGAATAATTTTCATACCCTAAAGGCTGTAACTACAGATCCAGAGGGGGTTTTTATTTGAAACGAATCTGTATGTTGATGGTTTCTGCCTATAAATGCATTAGTCACATGTACTTCACTGACTGATACCAGAGCAAATTCCTAAAAGACTGTGTCCAGAAGAAAGACCTTTGCATTTATAGTGGGAAGACCTCAGAGTCAAACCCTGGTCAGGGTCCATTTTCTGACAGGTAGACTCACCCAGGAGTCAGGAAAAGAATGGATAGGGCAGCCTGCATGCTAGGCCTAGAGGTCTTTGAAGTGTCTTGGCCACAACACCATAAGCATATTATATGAATTCCTAGTCATTGCTTAAGGCCATTCAAAAGCATGCTCAGTACAACTCCATATCTATGATGGGTCTTCAGACCTACTGTTCCTATTTGACTTGTCACCTACTTTGAGCCACAGCTCTTCTTTCACTAGGCTGTAATTACTGTGAATACTTACAAAATAGTAAGAATATAATCTTGTCTATTCATTAAAGGTTCTGCCAAAGCAGATGGGGGGAGAGTAAACATACTTTCGGTATCTTCAGTGCCTGTCTCTGGCCTGGCACATACTAGATGCTCAAGGAGCAAATATGCCACTGACTCCCTGCTTCCATGGGGAAGAGCTGCCTTGGAAAGGAGTAAGACTTTGTTCCAAAAATAAAACAAAACAGAAACTTTGCTAAATGAAAAAGATAAAAGAACACAAGAGGGTAGTGAATATTATCAAAGTATGTAAGGAGTAAGGTTTTTCCGCCCACTGCCTGGGCTTGTCCCGCCACCGCAATAAAAGTATATTACAATCAGGTATGGAAATACAACAATGAAAACCATTAGTTTGTATAATTAATACATGTTTAAAAAACAAAACTGTGCTGGTACTTGGAAACAGGCACATTTGCACACTGTTAGTGAGAGCTCAATAGATACACCCCTCCCCTAAAGTGGAAATAGCTCTAAACACTCCATTAGAAGCATCAGCCCTGGCAGAAAAGCACTGAGGCAGGGAGCATGCTGGGAAAAAAGTCTCTGGCCTAGGACAGAAGAACTAGCTTCTCATCAAACTACCTAAACCAGGAGAGAATGTCTGTAGAAACCCAACCTGCTGGGATTTGTCAGACAACAGGTAGTAGCTGGGCTGGGGGTGTGGCCTCATGTTATAGCATGTGCCTAGCAAACACTTGATTTCAAGCAACACACACACACACATACACACACACACACACACACACACACACACACACACACACACACACACACACACACAGTGGGGAGAAGGCAGAGAGACAGAAATGGAATTGAACTATAGCTCTTTAGAATCCCAGAGGGATTTGGGGTTACCCTAGTGAGTAAGGTTCCTAAGTTTATATGCCCCTTTATTTTTATGTGTAAAATGTTCCCATGTCTATGCATGTATACATGTATGCAAGTAGAGCCCAGATCAATGTTACCTTTTTTTTTTTTTTTTTTTTTTTTTTTTTTGAGCAGGGTTTTCAGAGCTCATGGGTTCAGCTAAACTGGCTGGTAACAAGCTCCAGGTATCATCCTGACTCTACCTTCCCAGTGCATGCACTATGGGACCTGGTATTTTGTAGGCGGATACTGGAGGATCCAAATTCATGTCTTCATTCTTGCAAAGCAAGCATGTTGCTGACCAAGCCATCTCCTCAGCCCCTTTTATGATATTTTTGAGGGTCTGCATTCTGCTGTGAATCTTACCCAGTTCCTAAATGATTTTATGGTTACCTCTTCAGAGACAGAGGCTTAGGGTGGGGGCTAAAGTAGCAATGAAGACCCATTAAGGGAAAACTTTTGGTAAAGAGAACAATCTCCGGCTTGGATGAGACCTAATAGTCCAGTTGATCCTGTCCAATTCCCTGGCCAAAGAACAGGCTCACCACAGAAACAGGCAGAAGAATCAGTCCTCTAATGAGGTACTTTTTCTTCCCAGAATTCCTGTCCATATCACAGTAGTTTACAGGGTCAGGGCCATACAACTCTATGCACCGAAGGTGAAGTCCTCCTTATCGTCTGTGTGTTCAAAGCTGCTTTTCCTGACACTGGCCTCCCTTACTCCTTCTCTAAAGCTGGGAAGCCTGTCTACCTTGTGTCAGACTTCCATTCCAACGTGATAGCATGGCTTTTTTTCCTTCCTTCTTCTATTCTCCTCCTCCAGGCAGTTCCTCAGATTTGTAGTTGTCCGCACCGGGATTCTTCTTGCGTTCCAATAAGCAAGCAGCAAAGTACCTTCATTCTGGAAGATGTACTCAGAAACTCTCCTGAGGGGCATAACTGGACATGCCTGGTTTTGAAGTTCTCAGAAAATGCGGAGTCTCGGTTCTTTTCTTCTTCGCCCCTTCCTCTACCCTCCTGTAGGGCTCCCCCCTAAGCAGAGATCTGCTTAGCCCACTTATGTAATGTAACCCGGTCCACAATCCCACCCCTTACCTTCATTCCTGCCCCATTCCCCTTCAATAGTCAGGGCCAGAGGAACACAGAGCTGTGGAAGACCACACACCAACAACTTCCCAGTCTCCTCTCCAGATTGGTAGGCTATGGATTCTGGAGCCGAATTGGAATTTCAGAAGATGGCTAAGCAAAGTCCCTAAATCTCTGGAATTCTAGCTGCAGAGGCTACTGACCACCCTTATAGAAACGTATTAAGGGATCACCCATGACATAAACAATAAACGCAATAAGATGGGCAATGTTAAACTACATTATGCTACAAAATTGTAGTGTAACCTTCAGTGAATATGAAATCCCACAGGAGCAACTTTTATCAAGTTGAGGTAATAACAGTATCCAATGGCTATGACACAATATTCTGAGGATTCCTGAATGCACAGGCTGGTTAAATTGTGGGTGTAATGATTCCCTCTCCCTTCATTTCCCTCTTCTCCTTGTAAAGCAAAAATTCGTCCTTAGAGACAAAAGACACAGGATACAACAGACATGCAGTGTGTTAAGAACGGAGGCCCACAGTCTGCCCAGAACTCTGAAGTTTCACGCCTTCTCTATAGCTGGATTATAATCCCATCTCCCATCGATTTTACTTCCTAGTCCAGCCCGAGTTTGTGTGTGTGGAAGGGAGTGGGTTTTGACAGAAAGACTGGAGTGGCCTCACTTCTAACATTTCAAGACCTTGTATGTAGATGCAAGTCAAAAGATTAAGAGCAGTGTACATATGACAATGTGTTCCATTTAAATGAGGAGACAGTGGCATGGCAGACCTGGGTCAGGGTGGGAAGGACGGCTATGCAATTTATTAAAATAAAGGAAACCTCAAGCTTCATCTTGTGATTTAAGAGGAAGTCAGCCATAACCACTTTTCAGTTCAGCTTGCCTATATTTTAAACACAAACTATCATTAACAGATTAAAAAATGGAATAACTATTTCAGAGTAACTGCGGGACTTGGAAAAAAAAAATGTTCTGTCATTCTCATCGAATCTCAGGGAACAGGCCAGCAAACACCCATGGAAACAGCAGGAGGAAGTGTGAGCTTCCAACTGGGAAGATGGAGTGGGAGGGATCTGGGCAGCAGTGATCAGAGGCTACAGGCATGCCTAAGAACTACTTTTCAGCCTCTATTCTTGTCTCTCTACTTTAGATTGGTCTGTTCTGGCTAAAACTGGGAAGCTCCAAAGGCTAGGAAAAGAAATATATAAATACTACCTATTCTTGCATGATATGACTGTCAATGAAAACATCTTGAACCATGGTTCTTTCTTTCAGAACAAGCACCCTCCCTTCCTAACACCCCACCCTGAAATAGAAAAAAAACATGCAACACAACCACACCGGCATTGTTTTCTAAAAGAAGTTAATCTGGGTTATGTCACAGCAGAAACAGAAATAGATTTTGTCCTGAGCAACAGTTCAAACCGTCCATCGGGGTAAAATTGAAGATGGTTTTTGGAATTAGTGTGCAAACAGACACACCCTGTTTACCCCTAAACTTAAAACAATAGTTCCCTACTGACAGTGTCCACTCAGATCCGGACAGGTCTGGGAAAATCACAGGGATAGTTTGCTTTCCTTTCCCCTTTACTCCTTAACACAAATGGCATTGGAACTTCTGTGGAAAACATGAGGAAATGAACAACTTGAATTCATTAGCATCCAACTAAGACAGATATAATTTGTCTTACTTATTTAGCTGTTCTTCTTGTGGTTCAAGGGATAGAACTTAGATCTTTGTGATCTCAGCCTGAACTTTATTTTTGACACAGGGTCTCACTCTATACCCTAATCCAGGCTGGAATTCACTGTGTAGTCCAGGTTGACCTTGAACCCAAAGTCATCTTCTTTGCTGAGTGCTAGGAGCAGAGAGGTATGAAACACCACCATAAATTATGTTTAAAATATCCTTCATATTCAAAGGGAAATGGAGAATTGGTTTAGTTTCTGGCATTTAGGAAAAAGCCACGCAAGCAATGTAGCAGGAGTACAATAAGGACGCCGCCTCTGTCAGGGCACTGGATGTCTTCAAGTGGGCACAGGAGTAAATTTGATTTGAATACAAAAGTAATCCAGCCAGTGAACACAGGAACATATTGGTGTCAGAATATGGGTGTTTTCAATACTGTCATGTATACTTCTACAGAGTATAAACATACATGGACACACACACACACACACACACACACACACACACACACAAAACTTACCTCCATCATGGGCCTGGCACTGTCGTGCACAGAAAGAATGTGAGTCACCTTGTTCCTGCTCAATTGTTCTGCATCTCTTGCATCTACCATCAAAGATAAGAGATGGGCATTTTAATAGTCTCTGTGAGTTTATTATTCTTAAAGTCTAGGCAGAAAACAGCACATGACTTGCAGTTTTTTTCTTGATACTTCATAACTGACCATATTTAGAACACATCAAATTGGCAGATTTAGGACTATTACTTTTATGTATTTTGTCTTAATTTATTTCTGACTGATGCAACTTTTGAGCTCAAGTACAATACACAGATTAAAAGGCACTGTAATTGGGAGGCTGTTGAAAGATATGAAAGATGTTATAGTACACTGATATGTTTTTTACATTAGACACATACAACAAGCATGTTTAGGAAAAATAAAAAAAGATACCTTTAATTATTATTCAAGTTCAGAGCAAAACCCAAGGACCTACTTGCTGTAGGAGACAGAAGAGCATATTGGACAGTTCTTGCCCTAATAGTGATAAAGCTTGAGATAGACTATGGTTTATAATATCTATAGCCACATCACAGCAAAAACAAGCAAACAGAAATCCAGATTGTTTCCCAGAAATTCCACACAGAATTACCAACTGGATATTAAGTCATCTTCATAAGAAATTTGGACACTTTCCTGTGCTTCCAGTTGTAGGAGGATATTCTGAGTTAGAAATCTTGGCTAATCTACAAAATAGTCCAGCAAGAATAAAAAAGTCCTACTCTTCTAAGTCCTTGGCCTTGACCTAGCTCTTCAAAGGGATACAAGAGAAACAAAAAGCAAGTATCCCACAATGATGTTCCTCAAGAATATTGTGTGACATGGAAAATGCCCAGTGCCTGTTGGGAAAGGGGGAAATGGAGGCACCAAATTTAAGTACACTAGCAACTTGATGTGAACAAACATGTACAGCCAGAAATCCACCTGGTGGGGCAAACAGTAAACACCCTTATCAAGATGTGGAATAATGAGAGAATGTCTCTTCTCTATTGTGCACGTGTGTGCGCACCTAAGGGTTTATCATGCACAATCTCTCTAGGTGGCACATCAGATAGACTAGTTCAGGGTTCCAGTCCAGTTCCAGGTCTAAAGTCAAACTAGGTCATTTACACTCCCAGGAAACCCTGGGATAGAACAAACACTAAGAAACAATCTTCTAAATATTTGGCAATGTCAGGGAAAAGGTCTTTAAGTATAATATTAAAACGTTTGTTTTTAATTTGAAGATTTTCCTCACCAGAGCCTCAAATTCCAGCACACAAAGCATGGCCCTTGAGGAACCTGGTTGGCCTGTGGCTGACTGGTCCCCATCTCAACAACTGGGGTTTTATGAGGGTGTCGCATCACTTTCAATAAAAGGCTTGATTTGGGTTTAGGTTTCTGTGAGAGGTCCTGGAGCTAGCCCCTAGCAGATACTGAGGGACAATATGCTTAATGGACTATTTCAGACTGTTATTTAGCTTTATTGGGCTGTAAGACACAATGGGTGTCTCAGCCTTTTGGCTATGGTCAAACAAAAGTATGACTCACACACCATAAGACTCACCCTTTTAAGAGGATACATGCATGTCAGTGGTTTGTAGTCCATTGAGAGTTGTGCAACTATGACCACAATTGACTTAAAACTTTTCATTACCCACAAAATACATTATACAACAGCTTGCCATTTTAAATTGTGCTTTGGTGATAACACTGTAAATGTGTGCATAAAGACCACACATGACCAATGAATGGGCTGCTGGGTCCCTGAAGACAGGTAAGCAGGGCTTGGCCAGTGCTGCTGCCACACCTGCCTTCTCTCTGCTGCCTCAGAGTGTGTCTGCATGGCCACACTACTCCGGGACCACTCTCTCCCACCAAACTCAGCATGGACTCGAGGATCCATGAAATCCTTCATCAGTTTTGTTGGATGATGACAGTGGACTTTTGTTATTTACTGACCTTACAGCACTGGAAAGGTACAACCACGGCCACTGTGGCAGTGAGCTGTGCATGCATGCACAGTAGCTCACTAGCCATACAAGCCTGTAAGTTTCAAGTCAGAAATCAGATCTTCCTGGGCTCCTTCAAAAAGGGATCACCTGGGTAGTGTCAGACATGTCTCAAACCAGAGTCACATATGCCCAACCCACTGAGCTTGGAGGGCGAGGAGCTCAGATTTCTGGAAATGGATGATAGTGATAGATATATAACCATGGGAGGAAAAAAACCTTACAGCTTTTATCTGTACACAGAGATGGCCACCATGTGATATACATGTATTTACAATCAGAGGGGGGGCGCGGAGAGAGCTATCACTCACCTTTAAAGTTGCCAATGTAGAGGCCAGGCAGGATCTGGAAGAGAGACACAGGCATGACTGTCACAGGATGCCAAGTGGGCAGTGTTACTGCCTAAAGATATGAGGCTCTCACAAGGTTTCCCAGCCAAGTCTAGGGGCCCACATCTACCATACCCAATTCCCAGCATCTCCCTGGGCACAGCTACTAAGGAAATTTACTCAAAGGGTGAGACTCTAACCTCAACCCCCTTTAGCTCCCTGAGTTTGGGCCAGGACAGCATGTGCTCTGGGCAATCAGAGAGGAGAGCGCCACCCTCCTCCCCACTGTACCCCCCCCATGTCCTTGGCAAATATGCCCTCAATGCTCAAGATCTTTGTATAGTGTCCACTGCCAAGTGTCACTAACAGCACCACAGTGTTCTGTGACCCCATTCAGTGATGCTATGGCAGGCCAGCTATTCTGCTGGACTAGAAAATTCCTCATGCTCCCACGGAAGACTTCAAAGGAGTAAGATGCTATACAGAGAAGGTATGTTTCACAAGCACCTGATGATTTTCAAGCAAATTCCTGTCTGTCTTTTGCAAGACAGTGAAATCCAATCACAAACATTTTCTTGAAACTAAAAGCAAATCCTTCTTGCCACAATTTCCAGTTGTCTTTGGCTTGCTTGCTCTACACATTCCCAGATGCTGTAGCCACACAGTCCTCCTGTGCCCTGCCAGCCTCTCAAGGTCCCCATTTTTATGAAGCAGAGTAGAACAGGTGCCATAGCATTCCTGTTGTAAAACAATACAATAATGCATTTCACTTTGGAGATGGACCAAGCTGAGGTTCCCTGGAAGCTTTCTGGCTGTACATGACTATGATCCCAGCTACCTGGGAGGCTAGGACAGGAGGGTAACAAGTTCAAGGCCAGTCTGGGTCCTAACAGCAAGGTCCTGAGTCAAAATAAATCAAAAAAGACTGGAGATGCAACTCAGTGGTAGAGCACTTGCCTAGTATATGTGAGGACCTAAGTTCAATCCTCAGTACAAGAGATTTTAAAAGAACGAGTGAAGATGAGATTCAGGGGGTAGAGGGAAGGAATCATTGCTATGGTGCTATATCCACCCACCAGCCCTAAACAGGTTTATTTTCTAAACTGGTGCCCTTCATGGCTAGAACCATGCCTAGGGGAGAGTTCCTGCTTCAGTGTATTTTTTACCCCACTACAGGGACCAGCACTGAGTGTAGCACCAGGCAGCATTGAGTAGTACAACTTAAATGGTGAATGGATGGATGCATGAATAATTACCACAGCTAGGGTACCTGCTGACAATGGCAACAGTGTTTAGCAGGACAAAGGTGTGAGACTTCCAGCCCCTTCCCACACTGAAACAGTGCTCCCCTTCCTGTAAGGTTAAGTCCACTTGCAGTGATATCTTGCTTGTACAAATAAAGCCTTTCTGAAGGTCAGTGAATGGAGCTTGCTACTAGCTACCGGTAGAGGTCTGGAGGTCTGCACAGACAGACAGGAAGTGAGAGAGCTGGGTGGAAACAGGATATAAGCAGGGAGAAACAAGACATCTCTCTCTTGTCTGCTCCTTCTCTCTGATCTCCCAGCATTTCCCTCTATGTCTGAGTCCGGCTTTTTATTATCTAGACCAATTAAGAACTAGTTCAGTCGGCAGAGCATGGGACTCTTAATCTCAGGGGTGTGGGTTCAAGCCCCATGTTGGGCACCAGCATTTACAATGTAGCAAGTACCTAATGAGACTCTAATAAGACTCTGCGCAAAATAAGTATTGCATGAATAATTTTACTTATTGGTTATGTGCTAAAATGCTTTAAATATACTCAGCTTAATAATATTCTTAAGATGATCATCTGTTCTGAATTTCAAAGAAATTTTACTAGAAAAATTTAAATGGTTTATCTGGTTCATGTTATATTTCTACTGGACAATCTGTGGCCTACACTGAGAAGGCCTGTGAAGGACTTCTGTCATTTGCACTGGCTTCCTCCCTTAGTCCTCAAAAACACTACACCTGCCCCATATTCAATATACAGCCAGTATGTGTTGAACCACTGAAGCGTCTAAATTTCTCTGTACATATAGTTTTCCGTATCTACACTGGAAATTGCTGCTGCACAAGATAGGATAGTAATATAGTCAAGAAATCTATTACTTTCAAATAGTACAATGTGGATATGAATACTACCACTTTTGCTAAGTGTAAAGATAATATTCCATAGGCAATCATTTACATACCTAAATCAATTCTTTCAATTATAATATAAAATGCAAGAAACCAAATGCAGAAAGGGGCAGTGGATGGTGGAACAAACTAGAAATACCAAAGGAAAGCTGAGGGACATCCACGGTCAGTGGGAAAGCAAACAGTCTCCAGGCACAGATGGACGTCTCCACTGGTCTAATTTTAAAAGCAGAAAGTTCATAGTGCTGACCAATCCCTGTGCCGATGGGAACATAGTGCAAGCATATATCCAAGAGAGGGAGTTTGTTTGTTTCGAATTTGATCACTGGCAAAAAGAGATTTTAAGTGAATTCCATCCTAGTCACCAAACCACCTCAGTGAGATACTGGTTCACAACATGCAAAAGCATGGGCACCGTGAGGGAATCAAGGAGCACGGGAGATGTTGTCACCTATCTTGGACCCCTGCCTCATGGTCATAACTAAAGCACTGCAGTGCCCTTCACCCCAAAGCAGAGACAAATGTGAAAGGGGGAAGAGGAGGAAGGAAGAGAAGGGAGGAAGCAAGCCACACCATTAGCGCCCATAAACATGACAGGGAATGTATGTGGAGATGAGATGAGGGTCGGGTGTGGGACTCGAGGCCAGAAGCTCATTAAATCATTTAAAATACATATACAGGAGCACTCGTCTTAGTCCCGGGCATGTAAAACTCGCTAAGATTTTCCAGCGAGTTCCTTAATCTTGAGGCTGACACAAGTAGACCCCTGAGGACTGTCACCACCAGACCATCCTCAGCCTAGAGGGTGGGACTGAAGAAACTGGCTCAGCGGGGCTGGACCACAACAGGGTCAAGGAAAGATTTTCTAAACAGGCCAGCCAACAGGTTGCCCTACCGAAACCCCACAACCTAGGGTCAACCAGCTCCAGACACCAGAAAGCCAGGTCAGTTCTAGGGTTTCCGTCAACTTCCCCACCAGGGCAGCTTATCTGTGTGCGCGCGCGCACAAATCTGGGGAAGAGAAGAGGAAATTACAGAAGCCGCCGCCCATCTGGCCCAGTTCACCAATGCTGTGGGTGGCAGGCGTCAAGGGGCCCGGTCCCCAGGGAGGGGGAGAGACCACATCCAGCACGGCTCCCCTCTCTCAAAGGGCAGACGGTGCGGGCCGGGCCTGACGGCGGAAGCCGCAGAGGGAAGGGGCGGCCGGGCCGGGACGTTACCTGGCTCATCCCACTCCCCATGGCCGTGCCGCGCTCGCCGCTCCGCGCTCGCGGGAGGAGACGGCGCGCGGACGGGCGGGCGGGCGGGGCGGCGGGAGGCGGCGCCAGGGCGGCGCTCGCAGCGCGTTGCGCCGGAGACCCGGCATGGTGGCCCGGCTCCGCGCGCACGTCGGGGACAGCTGGCCCTCGCCCCCGCGGCCGGCCGCCCTGCGCGCACGCGCACGCGCGCCTAGGCCTGCAGTTCGCGCAAGCGCGCCGGGGGTGGAGGCGGTGGCTGCGGTAGGGGGTCCCCAGGTCCCCAAAGGCGTTTTCCCCTGGGGCTCCCTGATGCCAAGTTACCGGCAGTGTCAGGCCTTGACTGCCTTTGTGAATCAGGTGCTAAGCACGGCCTGGGCTCGGGGCTCCCCTGTCTGGGTTTTCTGAGCCAACAGTTTTAGGCGGGGGGATTCCTGTGGCCCTGCCCCACCCAACCCAGACCGAGATGGAGCACGCTCTGGGAAAGGTGGGCTAGGTGACTCACCTCTGCGGAGATTCTACCCTGGTCAGGGAGAGGAAGGCAGCTGGAGGCCCTAAATGGTCGAGGGTTTCCTTCAGGGCAAGTGTGTCGAGATGACTGCTCCCAGAAAGGCCCCTGTCCCCACATACTGTATTGCGGCTTTATCTAGCTGATATGGCAGGTCCGATTCTGCTGGCCCTGTATCATGTTTTATGACATAAATTCTATCATGTAATAAAATTATTCGAGGGCCATCTATAATCCATCCTAAATTTTACATTTCCTTTTCCAGGCACAAAAAGCCTTCAGCTAGAGCAGCGGTTCTCAACCTGGGGGACACTTTCACCTGGGGAACGCTTTCACAGGAGTGGCCTGGGACCATGAGAAAACACAGATATTCACATTACAATTCATAACTAGCAAAATTACAGTTATGAACTACCAAGGAAAATCACCTTATGATGGGGGGAGTCAGTACAACATGAGGAACTGTTTTAAAGTGTTGTGGCATTAGGAAGGTTGAGAACCACTGTGCTACAGGTTTCTCGTTTTCATTCTGTATTCTTGACAATGTCCTGCACTCAGTAGATACTTAGAAAATACTTGTTGAATGAAGATGCACCATGCTTCAAACTGATGTGGCAGGTCCGATTCTGCTGGCCATGTATCATTTGCCACTCTGCCCTCTTGGGCTCATCCTCAGAGGCTGCTCTGCTGTTTCCTAGGCTTCCTAGGCTTGCTCTTGTTCAGGGTCCTGTGTAACTGACATCTCAATCCCCAAGTCTTTGCATAGCTTCTTTGGACGTCTCAGAACAAAGGTCATCTTATAGAATCTTCTTTTGACTAAACCAATTTATAAGGAATACTCCAGGTAGCACCTTAGTTTTTTCACGGCACTTAGGGTCAGAAATTATACTTAATTGCTTACTATTGACTTGTCTCGAAAGATAGCAACCTCCCGAAAAGGGTCCTTCTGTCATATTCACTACTTAGCCGTATGGCCTGGGATAGCAACTAGCACAAAATAGACTAAACGTGTTAAATCAATTAATAGATTCTTGGCTGAGAAACTATGGGGAGGCTGTAAAAACAAATAAACAATGCCCCCTATAAAGAAATGTTGTTGTTGAGTTGGCTCAGCTGGTAAAGCTTCTGGCTACCAAGCTACATGAATTCAATCCCTGGAAACCACATGGTGGAAAGACAGGACTGAGTTCTGTAAGTTATCTTCTGACCACACCTGCTAGACTCCATCTAGTGCCATTTTTTCCTCCTGGTACACTCTTGCCCTGCGCAGGAAAAGGCATTCCCTCCCTCCATATGCACTTGCATTGCCTCTGCCTGCAGGATGAGACTGGCCTGATTCTGCTCCTTGTTATGGGAATGTTCCTACCCAATCACCCTCATATCTTCTTCCTCCTGGTCCATGGGGCAGCCTGCCCTCTTCCCTCTGCAGCATCTCGCCATTATGCCATCACTCCTGCTGTTTAGGGTCAGGATAATTAGTGGACTCTACTAAGGGAATCACATGATCAGCGTCTATCCCCAGCCCTTAGGAATATCTCGGCCAAGATGATGCTCTTAGCATTTTCCCCTTTAAAATGGGTTCATTAGACTATGAGTGTATGAAGGCAACCAGCCAATTGCTTATTCTCCTTCGCTCTCCTTAGGTCATTTTTTTTCCAGTACAAAGGCCAGCTTCTCAAAGCACAATTAGTTCATAAGTTGGTACATACACATAAATGGCAAATGCAAAATGTGTTTTTTTAAATTTTGTCAGCTATTTGGAATACTGCTTTGTGTGTCCCATTATTGTTATTGATGTTACCATGCTTATAGTTCAGCTCATGAGCTCACAGTTCCTCATACCTGTGTCCTAACAGTAGAGTTAACACTCTTGTCTGCATTTGCCTTGGCTCTTTCCAGAATTCTCACATGCCCAGAACTTACCTCAAATTCATACATTTCATTTTTTGAGAAGAGGTGGAAAAGGTCATTAACATCAGAAGTCAAAGGGTGAGAGAGAGAGAGAGAGAGAGAGAGAGAGAGAGAGAGATCCATAATGAGTTTCTATCTCTCCTCATCTCCTGCCCTCAGTCTAGAATCTAATCCCAACTACTCCCATGGTGACATGATTAATATCTGGTTTTCAATTCCTGCAGTTCTGTGAGTTTTCCTCTCCATAGCTTCTGATTATAAAAAGGAGGAAAAATCTAAACAAACCCAGTGTATTTCATACCCATTGTAGAATGTGTTTGTTCGCTTGTGTTTTCACACATTCTTAAAAGTTTTAAAGGCCAGAAGCCAAGTTGATTTCCACTCCATAAAAGGATTCCATTCATAACATTTCTTCCCACCATTGCCCCCACCCTCAGTATGGCCAACATCACAGATGCATTTATGATGCAATAAATGTCTTGTGACCAGCTCATACTGGCATGGGGATCACAATACAATTATTTGTCATGACATAAAAGTCCACAAGCAGGGATTCAAGAGAGCCAGTCAGATCATTATGTATGTTAATGCTAATTTCAGAGAATTCAGAGAAACCTCTACTCAAGTGAGTGGTTGTGCAATATGCCTTTGGCAAAGCACCAAAAAGAAAAGACGGACACTAGTTAGTGTGGAAAGGAGAAATGAGGCAGAGCCCAGAACTTCAAAAGCCAAAGCACAGATAGTTTTCTCTCTTTCTGAAGCTCCATCCAGAGGAACGATACTCAGATGAGGCCTTTGAGCCTACAGCAGGATAGCCAAGCCACAGGGTTAGCCTCTGTAGAGGATGACCTCATCATTCAGAAGTTCACCTGTCCCCAGCCTTCAGTCAGCCTTCTGAAGACAGAGCAGCCTAACTGGAATGGCATGGTCTGTTTAAACCCCAAAGCCTACACTGCCCTTAACAAGGCCACACCTCCTTTCTGAACAGTTCCACCAATTGGGGACCAAGTATTCAAGCATAAGAGCCTATGGGAGTCTTTCTTGCTCAAACCTCCTGTCTGGGGAAATGTCTATTAGATAAGGAAAGAATTGTAGCCACGATGCTGTTATATTGTCCCAGATACGGGCTTCACTAATTGTTCATGCATTTATATGCAACACGGACCCTACCTGCCTTCCTCCTCCTGCTCCCTGCCCTCCCTTTCCTCTTCCTTTTTTCTTCCTTTTTGTCTGAGATGTGGTTTTGCTGTGTAGCCCAAGCTAACCTGCACATTTCTATATGGCCAAGGCCCTCTTCAGATTCATATGTGTACACACTCAAGTCTGTCTTTTCTTTTTCTCCTGAAGCAGTATCAACTTCCCTAGAGCCTTAGAGTGGTGGCTGTGGGATCCAGTAGTGATCAAACTCCTATTGGCTTCCATTTTAAAAACAGATACCGTGTGACTCTAATAGAGGAAAGGAGAGGAGTAGTAAGGAGAGGAAGAGCGGGGAGAGGGGGTGGGAAGGCAGGGAAGAGAGTAGAGGAGGGAGACAGACCGTTTGGGGAAAAGAGTGATGAACTTGCAAGGGTACTTTCTGCACTGCTGGGCTCCACTCTTCATGCACTGCTTCAGAACCCAGGGATTTCCGGAGCTTCACTCCTTCAGAATCTGTTGTCTGAGCTTTGGGTAAGAAACTTTGCCTGGCCTAGTCACTCCCATCTCAGATATTGTTTGTGCTTGTTTTCCCTGCAAGGAATGGCTTGACCTAAGCCCTTCTCTATGCCTGCCAAGAAAGCTTCTGCAACAATGCACTTGTTCCTTTAAAATGTGTAATGCATAAACAAAAGATATTTAAGGCTGGTAACTCTGTGCCCAAACAACTAGCAATATCTGAACCACTGATATCTTCTTAGCCCCTGCAGCATGTTTGACTTTATCTTGGTATTTGACAGGACAGAACGGATGTAAGATCCAAATTGAGCCTTGCTTTACTACCCACCCATCACCACCACTCCAACCACTTGGGCTTAAGACACGCCCAGGAGGCTCACCAGCTCTGGCTTCTTCAGTATACTAGGCACAGTCTCTAGACCTTCATTCTAGACCCTGTTCAAACTGATCATAGAAGCTGCGATGTGGGACAGGATGGGACGTCCCATAAGTGTTCTTGGTCAGAGGACTCCATCCATTGGTCCTTACTGCACCTGCACAGGCAGCCACCTCTCTGAGATTCACTTCTGCCTCTTCACGTGCCCAAATAGGCGAGAGGCTAGCTCAGAAGTGCAAACAGTGAGGGATGCCTTAGCTCAGAGTGGTTCTGGCTTGCCTTAGCCATCTTGCCCTTGTCTACTGGGTGTAATTTTGGAACTCCTCCCAAAAGAAGGGTTTGGGCTTTGTTTTGCTCACTAAAAATAAAACTATTTGCCCTATCAAAACCAAAATTGATTTGGAAATGAAGGCACACACACAGCCTGGATGGTGCTTGAGGGAGGAGGGGCTTTCCTGAGAGAACGGAATGTCCCAAGAGAAATTTCACTCACTGTGATGGGGAAATCCAATTAGCATGAAATAACACTGTTGTTATTGAACATTCTATCTTGGGTTTTACCTTTGTTAATAGTTATCGCTGTTTTGACTAGTCAGTCATCATTGAAGTCCTATAAGTTTGAGAAACTCATCATGTAGTGAACATATGTCAGGTCTCAGGTTGA